CGCCTTGAGGCATGGAACATATGTACCAAATATGCCAAAGATGTCTACAAAATTATCTCAGTTATTATTAAAAAACTGATTATTTTTGAAAACTTTGCCACCCTGTATCTCAAAAGTTAAGGCGTTTAGGACATACGTCCATAGGAAGTTTTTTTCTTAAAATGGATCTAAGAATTACCTCCTTAAATATTAGCATGTGTTAAAGGAACACCCTGTATATTTGATTTACAGAACCATTCGGCAACACAGTAATGGAACATAATGGATCAAATGCAGATATTTTCAATGTTGAAAAATAATCCTTCATACTTCATTATCGCTTATGTAAAATATTTTCTGAGTACAACTTTCGAGTTCAGCAAGATCAGAAATCTCTATGAGTTATAGTGGACGTTTGTGTGCACTTCTCAATACATTCAAACTTGGAGAGACTTCTAAATCTCAGCACTTATAGAGAATATAGCATAATTGAGTTATCATTTACTTTTTGTATTGAATGTAACGTAATAACCTTTGCAGTCATTAATTGACGAGAATCACAATACAACCTGGAAAACTAAACTGCTAGTGAGCATTAATGTCCAACTAAAATGTGACAGAATTCTATTCTGTGCATTGAGTGCTTTTGACGAAAAAAATCGAGTGGAAGAATAAACCAGAAGTTTATCCAGAATGAACCAGAAGTTTATCCATCTTGACTCTTAGATAGTATTCCTTTGTCAGTTGTCAAGTGCAGTAACTGTTCGAAGTTTTTGATTCCAATTCAGTTTTTACAGGCATTGGTAACATGTCTTAGTTCCAATTGAAAAAATAATTCCAATTTCACCCCACATTAATCACGGATCTCATTAAAAAGTTTGTGAGACTGTGTCTTAGATGTCATTTTCCTGGCAAATAACATAACAGACATAAAAACATTAGCAAAACTTGAATAAAAAGTGAAGACAATGCAATGAAAATTATGAATTAAGTGTGATCATGAAGCCATAAATAACTAAAGAGATATACGTCGATTGAATAAGCTCTTTGAGGGGCTCTCAGGATCACACTAAGGTTGTATGATACAAGGTGTTTATGGTTATATAGTTATAGGTAGAAATAGATCAAGTTATGCTGAACAGAAAATTTTGTTACATTTTGCTCTTTGACGCCATAAAATTATTTTAATCTGTATGTCATTTCACTACGTGGTAATGGCGCATGTCTAGCTAGCCATTCAAATTAAAATCAAATCCGAATATGTGAAACGAGACAAATAGAGAGAGTACATGAACAGAGCAATATTGAGCCGAACTAAACATAAATACACACGACTATGACAATAAATGCATAAATGTACATATACAAGCTACAAAATGAATAATGATTGCTTTTTGTGTCGATTTAATAACTTATAGTGGTATATTCAATTTGATTTTTATATTTTTTTGTGGATAAGACACAATTTTCAAAATAAAGACATACCAAGGTCAAGATCTTTTGTTCCACAAATAAAGTTACGGCATGAACCTGTTGCCTTGCATAAAAATCTGATAGCTCATTTTTTGTAACGGGAATAGTCTATTGAAAAGAAATTGGACGCAGATTCCACAGAAGCAAATTCCCTAACATTAATGGGTCACAATTTGGGCAAACGGATCTTATAATAGCAGTATCTAATTCTCTTGTTGAAGGATAAAAGATTGGATTTGCAACATTCCTTCATTCTTCTCATGGCAGTAATGATGCTATCAGACAAATTTTAATTGTTATTGTTGTTTATTTATTCATTCAATTTGAGATACGAACAGGGTGGAACCCAAAACAGTATGCTAAAAAGGTCACCAAGATTCGAACAAAAAAATTTTTCAACAAACATGGGAGGCGACTATGGAGCAGACTAACAGCTATATCTTTTCTATAAAAAAAAATCGAAAAAGGTGAATTTACTATTGATGTCAACATGGACTGAGCCAGTGACATAAATGAGGAACAACATCCGAAAGGGATGTACAGGGATGTTTCGTATGTACAGATAGTACTGATTTTAATATTTTCTTGTGCCCTATATTATTTTGTGATATTTTTCAAGAAAGCTTTGTGCCCATGTCTCAATCTCTATCTCTCTATTTTTTCAAATCGTAAAATTTTGTATACAGACCATGAACACCTTGTATATGATAAACAGTATAACAAAAATATGTTACAACACTCACGTTAGCAATGGATTAGAGTGCAATACATCAACTATCCAGCCCACTCTTATAATTACCTTTTCATCTACCATTGCTTTAACGTGATTGTTAACCAGGGTCGCAGAATCATCATCGAAACTACAAAATACTGGACCCGATATGATTCGGTGAATGCATTTTAGAATGAACAAAAAGCTTTTAAACAAAAAACACGGCGTTAAACTTTTAAAATATCCAACACTTTTTTAAACTATCGACGGAAGTCAACATCAATAAAATCTCTTAAATTTTAACTTCAATCCGAAATGAAACGCAGAATATTTCTACCCGTAAAACGTAAAAAATGACTAGAAAATTACAAAAAAAACTAATTTAATCACTGAATGCAACAGTCCTTGTCTTCATCTTTCTTTTTATTCTTATGTTTGCCTTGTGACCCGGAAGATAAAGATGAACTCGAACTTCTAGAATCAACTGTTTGCGGCTTCGGAATATAAAAGGAAGTTACCACTTCCTTCTTTGGCTTATTGTCTTTGGGCGATACATTTTTTACAGTAGGAGGAGCTTCATCTGTCAATTTTCTAATAGGTATTGGCGAAGCAGCCGTAGAGCGTTTCCTTCTAATCGGAGCACAAGGAGTCACCGAATCACCCTCCATTTGTTCCTCTGGCTTTTCTAAATTACTCGCTCTGCGTTCTAGAGACTTCTGCCTCAGAGGTCTTTGCGGTGGGCAGGAATTCGTAGAAACTTCCCCTTCCAAATGAAGGTGGCTCGCTGACTTTTTATCAACTTTAGCATACAAATCTTCGATATTTTTGTTCGAAGTAGATTCTGTCAAGTTTTCTACCCGTGAAGTAGGAGATGGACCTTCAAAAGGAGGATCCTGCTTGTCAAAGTCGCGAAGTTCAATAGGTTCAACTTTTGGATACATTTCCTCGACGGTTTGTGTAACATTCATGCTGTTTTCTGCAGGACTTTGAGTTTGACCGGATTCCAAAGGCGTATTTCCAAGTCCACCATTTTGTTTCTCCATAGAACTTTGTTTATCAAATACTACACTTGAATTCGAAACATCAGGCATTCCTGTTATGTTACCTTTTGGAGAAATTCCGCTGGAATGAGCCTCTGCATGCATGTCTTGCTCCAAACAAACTGGTTCTTGTTTAGCAGGTTCAGTATCATTATTTACCGGATCTTCCAAGTCATCATTTTGAGAATCTTCAGAATCGGATTCATCACTATCAGAACTTCCTGAATCCGAAATAGTATCATCTGATGACTCTGAAGACTCTTCAGGATTGTCGGATGAGTCTACAACAGCCTTCATAAAGTTGAGAGGAGTGTCAGTACGAGAGCTTGAAATGTCCTCAGAACTTTTTTTAATATCTGAAACGCCTTGCTCAATATCAACTAAAACTCCCAGCAAGTTATCAGAGACTGTGGAATCGATACACAAAGAGGTTTCATCAGCAGGAGAAATATTTGCAGACTGTGCAATATGAGGACAACTATCTTCAATGTTAGATGAATGATCGATGAGAGGTTTCTCATGACGGTTCTCCGTTTCATTGGATGAAGAAAAAACTGGTTCGCAAATAGTATTCTCCAATTGGGATTTTCCATCAGAAATTGTAGTTTCGCTTCGAACTGTCGATATGGTGTCATTACCTGGTAATACTGTGACATTCACTGGTGATACTGTATCATTAACTATTGATAATGCAGGATTGACTGTTGATATTGCGCTATGAACTGTTGACATTGTAGGATTAACTGTTGATATTGTTTCATTAACTGTTGACATATTGCTATCAGCTGCTAATATCATTGGACTAGCTGTTGATATATTATCATTTACTGTTGATATTGGGTTATCATCTATCAACATCATAGGATTAACTGTTGATACTGTTCCATTAACTGTTGATATCGTAGGATTAACTTTCAATTTTGTGTCGTTATCTATTGATAATAAAGGGTTAATGGTTGATATCATGTCACTAACTATTACTGCACTGTCAGCCGTTGATATCATGGGAATACTTGTTATCGTGGGATTAACTGTTGATATTGTGTCATTGACTGTTGAAATACAATTTAGCACTACATCATTTTCAACAGAAATCAAGGATGTGGAACTTTTCTGTTCTGAAATAGGAGTATTACCCGGCAAATTATCAAAAACTATGGGATCTTTTGAAGTGGTGTATTCTTCATCTTTTTTGCTATCAAGATCATCAATAATATTGGATACTTCAATGTCGTTATTAGACATTTCATTTCGAGCTGGTTCACTCTCGTTGTTACCAAGTTCAGGCATTTCAACTTCTGGACTGCTCATTACAGTAGAAACAGTGACTTGGGCGCTCCATTTGTTTTCAACTGGGTCTCCTGTTGGGGATGGACCACTTTCATATTTATCTCCGATGCTGCTCAATGTATCTTGGACAAACTGCTCCAATTTATCGAAAGAATACTCATCGATACCCTTTTTTTTGTTTATCAATGGTTTTCCTTTCGGCTTCTGACTATTAAAAGCAGTGTTCTTTTCAACAGGAACATCTTTATTTTCCATGGACCCTTTCTCGAACTTCTCTATAGTATTTTTGATCGGTTTTGGTTTAGCTTTGAAAGATTTGTCCAATATTTTCGCCAATTTTTCATCTTTCTCTGTTCGAACCGATCTAAAGTCTGTGAATGAGTTTCTTTTGATATTGAGGGTAGGGGCAGGCTTTGGAGAAGGTTCTTCGCTGGGAGTTTCAAATTTTTTAAGCATTTTCTTTATATCAACCTTCTCAATATCGTCCAAGTTGACAGATTTTCTCACTCTACTGCCTTTATTGAATGTAATTTCTGTTTTTGATCTTTTCAGATCTACCCTTCTCGGTGGCATGTCTTCGTCGCTGTCGCTGTTTTCCCTAGGCACCCCTTTGCCTGAGAGATGTAATTCGAAAAAGGACAGATTGTTCTTGGGGATCTTATTCACGCATTCCGATAAGTGAGGCGTTTTCAAAACTTTCTCCAAGTTTTTGTACTTGACGTCGCTAAAGGACCTGTACACTTTACGGTCCTTTGTTTGGTGTTCTAAACCTTCCATCCAGCTGAGCAAGTCCTCAATTTTCTCACAAGGCATTTCCTCAACTTTCTCGCTTTCGATAGTCGAGTCTTTGGTTTCTGTTTCGAGAGCCTTCAGGAGATCTTCGATGCTGCTAGACGCTTTCTCTTCTTCTTCACCCTGGGTTTCCTCTACGGGCACTGCATACTTATTAGGGTCTATAGGTTTGTGTAGTTCGTCTTCGTTTGCTAACAGATTTTCTATATAGTCGTCAATCTCCTTCAAGTCGGAATCTTCTGGTTCGAAGTTGAATGTCGTCAAGTCTTTTTTCTCTTCCGAAGTCTCTGGTAAGCTCTGCTGTTTAACCAGCAAGGTTTTTGGAGTTGCCGCGATGGTTTCAGATCTCTGCAAGGTTTTCTTCGGTACAGGTTTCTTGGATACGACTCCGAAATATTTGCTCTTGTCCAAATTGCTGGTGTTCACGGCCACTTTGGGTTTGCCAACTTCTTTAGGTAACGATAGTTTGCTCGGGGTTCTTTTTATGATCAACAACGGTTCAGGCTCGGGAGACTGAAACTTGGGAATGAATTCAGCGCCAAACATTCTCCTATTTTCTTTAGGAGGTAGGACAAAGTTCCTTTTAATCAAGAGATCCCCGGACGTGACGCTTTTCGTTAAAGGATTTGCTTTGTGGACTTCGCTAGGTTTGCTGGATTTTTCATCACCACTACTTTTAGTTATGGTAAGTTTACCGACAACCACGTTACCGTCGCTGAAATGTTTTTTGTTCATATTTAAATCTAACTCACCGGATTCTGCGCTATTAAAGTCCGCGGAATCCGCGGAGGAAGATTTGTGCAAGTGAACGTCTCCGACTGAGAGACGGTTATGATTGGATATTATATCAGGAAAATGAGAATTCAAGTTGAAAGATGATTTCACCTCAGTATCAGTGCCAGTGTCTGTATGAACGATGGGAGGTTCCACGCACACTTCTTTTTTGCGCAACTCGCGCGCTCGTATCTCTTCCTCACCTTCGGTGGCGGTATCAGATTCGTCTTCTGAAAAATAACAGAAATACAATTGGTGCTATTACAAGTGATATTTGTGAAAGTCAAACAGACATTTCCTGCGATATTTATTATTTGTCTCAAACAGAGTTACAAAACAATTCAGATCTCAATCTAGCACTTGATCTATTTGTTCGACATAGAGAATTACATTCATCTAATAATAATAATAATAATAATTGCCGTTCCAATCTTACTCTACTCGTTTGGAGTAGTGAAGTGGACTCGGGAGAGGAGCTGTATCAACTCGACGTGAAAACCCGAAAAATGATGCATCTCTATAGGAGTTTGCATACCAAATCGTCCGTTCCACGGTTGTACTTCCCCCGGCAACAGAGAGGCCGTGGACTTTTGAGTTTGGAGTGTCTACATGACAGAATGGTACTGGATACAGCCTGTAAAGTCGTCATGAGTTTGGATCCCCTTCTCTGCATGGTCTGTGACCATGAGAGAGCAGGAATCGGAGCATTTTTTCTTAGGGCAGCTGCCCGAGCAGCTGATGAACTCGGTATAGTTTTCCACACTGAACGAGGTGACCACAACTCTGTCACCGAGTTGGAACCCGTTCAGCAAGAAGCTCAGATAAAAACCGCAGAGATCACCTTACTTCTGCGGAGCCACAAGGATAAGCCACTGCATGGGGTCTTTTTCAATAACATTGAAGACCTTGGCTTATCAAAGCGCCTGACGTTTGCTTTTCTCAGGTCGAGTGGGCTGAAGTCGGAAACTGAGGGGTTCATCATGGCTTGCCAGGATGGTGTCTTCAACACCTTAGTCTACCGCAGTCGCGTGATGGGTATAGAGGTTACTGACACAACGTGCAGGGCCTGCCGCGAGGTGCCCGAGATCCTAATGCACTTGCTATCAGCATGTCCAGCATATGCGGTCTCGGCCTATATCCATCGACATAACGCGGCCCTGCGAGTGCTATATTACCATCTACGGCACTCTTACGGTATTGACGAGACACCGGTGTTGCCCTACGCTCCGGGGAATATTGAATTCGTTGTGGGGAACGAGAAGTGCCGAATTTATTGGAACTATTCGTTCCCCGCCCTGAGGCTCATACAAGCTAATAAGCCTGATATAGTCCTTCTCGACCACCAGACCAAGACGATATTTGTCGTGGAGTTTTCAGCTCCTGGCGAGATGAATATTGTCAGAAAAGAGGAGGAAAAACGGATAAAATATTGAGATTTTCTCTTCGAACTTCGTAGACTCTATCCAGATCACTCTGTCAAGACGGTTGTTCTGATTATTGGAGTCCTTGGTGGAATGATGTCTTCTCTACTCTCGAATGTTAAAATCATACTGGCTTGCCGCACTAAGGCAGAACTCTTAGCTGCACAGATGCAAAAGGCTGTCATTCTTGGCTCACTGCGCTTGCTCAGGGCACATGATTCTCGGACCCAATGATCACTCACCCCACGGTGTGGTGGGGTGAGTGATCATTGGGTCACTTTACTCATTTGTGGTATTGATATATTTTTCCCGACAACAGGGAGTGTGGAGTGTATACATAACAGAATGGTACTGGACCTTTTTGAGGAAGCTGCTCGAATAGTCGATAAGCATTTTAAATACAACAAACACTTTAACTAAAACTTCAACTATTATTCGAATATATTGTAATCGAATGCAGTACAAATTTCGCCGAAGTTCCATCGAAATCGGAAGCATTATTCTCGCTGCTTCTAGAGCGGCAGGGAACATCGTACATTCGCGCGCTTTTAGGTACGTCACGATTAGTTTATGGCTACCAGTGGCGACCAGCGTTATTTTTTTTTAGGGCATGATTTACAACAATATTATAAATGTATACTAAAATAGACTTTAGAGTGGTATTTGAATGGGGACTCAAATTATTTAAATCGCCAGGAAATGACTCTTTGGCAATAATTTCAGTTGATAGTTAGAAAAAAAAAGAATACACAATGTAGACACAACATCAGTTACAATTTCATTAACCACATGTCAAATCGGGTCTAATAGATTCGTAATACTCTAATTAAACACAAGAAAAAACAATCGACAACGTTCATCAAGCACAATAAGTAAAAAAAAAAATAAAATACATACTACGCCTGCTTGATCTGAGTTTAAGTTTCATAAAGCGTTTGAATAGAAGCAATTTTCTGATAACTAAAAAAGTAAAATAGTATAAAAATTCGAATCATAAAAAAAGTCTAAAACTCGTAAAATATCTCACACATACCATCCGAAGTATTTTCATAATAGCTAGACTGATCACTGCTGCTGAATTCGTTCGAGTCAGAATTCCGCTTTTTCCTGGAATAGCTGTTCTTCCAGCGTTCGGCCCATTTCATCGTACCTTCTTTAGTTACAGGTTCTTCCAGAGCATCGTCGAAAGCATCTTCATCGTCACTATCTGTGTCGCTGAAAAAAAAAACAGAAGAAAACGGTATGAAGTGACAGTATAACCTATAAACAGATTCCTACCTCATGCTAGAAGAATCGTCATCACTATCATCCAATTCCGCGCAAGAAGCACCAAAGTTCTTATCTGTCCATTCATCTTCATCCATCTGGCTTAAAGAATCCTCCTGATCTGAAGATATATGGTCGACGGAGAGGTTCGAGAATTCAATTCTCTCTGGAGTGTGTACTGAAACAAACTTGAAATGAAGCTCCAAGTTTAGAGAAATTATTAAGTATGTACCTTTATCGAGCAAATCAACACCAGATATACCCGAAGGCAATTTCTTTTCTGGACTTCGTTTTTGTTCGCTGAGAACCCTTTGGGATGGTTTTCTTGTTACTTTCACAGTTGGCGCTATGCTAACCATTCCGAAATGTTGCAAACAGAAGAATTTGTAGCCGTACTGTCCATCACGATCGAATGCGTAAGATCCAAGACGAAGTTGAGTGTAGCAGAATTGACACCTGTGAAATGATTCAAAAATGTAGTAGTAGTATTTTGATTAAGGTTCTCTTAATGTATGAATCCCCTTTTAAATTGAATAGATAGATGCAATAGATGCAAAAAAATGTATAAACACGAATAAAAATTTTGATGATGATGATGAGGATGATATACTTTATTGTGCCTGAAATAAATCATGGTACAAAGCTTGAGTGATACAATGAATTAAAAAAGAAATATCACCACAAACAAGTCTAAAACTGTAAACAAATCTTGATAACAAAATTAACAGATTAAAATGGTGAAGTATCAGATGAAATTTTCATATTTTTCTCTAAGAATATGTAGCTGTTACTACATGGTAGATCATCATGAAAAATGAGAATCAAACTGAGAAAAAAATGTCATTGTAATTTGTTTTTCAACTCATAGTTGAATGCAGTCATCATAATTTTGCTTTTACTTACATTAAGGAAGAGCTCATAACTTAGCAAATACCCAACAGTTCGATTTACTGCACTTTACACTTCGTTTATTGTATTTTTAATGTAACTATTTTATGGGCTACGATACAACATGTATAATGAGGTTTTATCTGCAAATAATTTAATCAATTGTCTATTTGTTAAGTAATAAATATCATTGAGATATATAATAAATAAGAGTGGACTTAGAGCACTACCTCGTGGGAACCTCAAATCATTTACAGATTCTTTTGAGATTGATGATTTAATTTTTGATGTCTCATATTATATGTAAGAATCAACAAAAACAAACAATTTTTATATAGTTGGTAAAACTCTGAATTGGTCTGAAATTGAAATATTTCACAGTATCTCTGATTTTTGGAATAGGTATTACCAAATTTAGCGTAAATGTGTGTTGAGAAGATACAAATTGTGTCGAATGTATTTTTTTTATTCTCTATCAATAACTTTAGGATTATTTCAGTTTGTTGAGTAAAACATAATTTTTTTCAACTGCTTTATATTTTCTTTTTTCAAATAATAATAGCCTTTATTACCCAACAGTTAAAAACCATTTACAGGGTTAACTAAGAATGTTAAAAAGTAACATAGGTCCTTATAATTACAAAGTTACAAATTGAGAAAATGAATAATAAAATGATAATATAATAAATTTAAAAAAAACTATACCAGAAAATTGAAAATTCTCCATGAAATACTGAGATGCAGTGTCAACAATATATTCTAGGGAATCAAAATTGATATCACACAGATTTGAAATTGAATTGAAATCATTGCAAATGCTAAAGAAAGGTGACTTGAGGTACAAATTGGTTCTGGGCAGTCAACTGTGAAAAATTTTTATACTTCTAGTTCTAAAATGAGGCACACAGAATTTTATAAGACATAACACCTCCATAGCATCCACATTCTTGTGCAGTAATTTATACAGAAAAATTATTCCAGCAAGTTTTCTGCATGTAATTCAAGTCTTTCAATTCTAAATGTAATGGTATGAGATTCATATGGAATACCTCTATCTAACGACGTCGAAATAAATATGCCTAAGCTAGGTGAGCTACTTAACATACCATTTCAAATTTTTTCATTGCTATAAAAAACTTTGAATACTCACTTGAAACAGCCATGATGGAAAAATCTTCCTTCGGCTGAGAGTCTCTCCATAAGATAGACGCGTTTCCCACAAAAATGACACATTTCCGAACCTTGAGTAGGTAACACAGGAAGAGGACGAGGTACCTATTGAATTTTGTTCAGAAGACACAGATATCAGATACAAAATATATTTTTTCGTGAATATTCAATACTTACGCTCTTCTCCACTGGTTTCGGATCAGGAGGTACTTTGCTTGTCAACTTTTCAGTTATGGTTGCGACCTTGTTGGTACCCAGTTCCCTTACTGTGCCCTCTTTCAGTTTCTGATCCAAATTCTTTATACTTTTATCTATATCTGCGTATTTTGCTGAAAACAATTTCTTATATGTAATGTTTTGAAAAACCTAATATTTGAATACATAGTGTTGTATTTCAGGAATAGTTTGAGCTTTCATCAGTACCGAGATTGAGGTCAAAGAATTGAAAATTATTTCAGTGAAACACTTCTGAGCTTTCTGGTTTCAGATCTTGAAATGCGTGACAATTTCTGGAATGAAGTAATTTGGTTCGTTTCAAAATCGCTGAATTTTGACGAAAAATTGTTCAGATTTGTTTAAAAGGATTATAGCTGGTGATGAATCATGGGTATATGGTTATGATATCGACACCAAAGTTTCCAAGTGTCCCAGTGGAAAAGCCCAGATGTGGTATATTATTAATATGTCATCCAAACACATATTTAATTTTCCATTCGAATCTAAATTAGATAGGGAATTTATGTAGGTTAAAATGAGATGAACTCTGAGGAAATCTACACCCTACATTCCCAGGTAGACGTTTTATTTCTCCTATACTTAGAAAAAACTTATTTTCGATCAATGGCTACTTTATTGTTGAAATAGGTAGTTATTTTTTCACTCCAAAAAACAGATAGTTCAACAAGGAAAGTATCTAGATATCCAGACATAATGTGTATTCAAGTAATAGAAAAAATAAACAATAACCCAAGTTGTACCAATTTCTAGAACATCATTCTTTGAGAATGAATAGTAGCTTAGGCATCAAGATGTATATATGTAGGGATATGGCAACGCTGTTTGTCACTGACAATTCCTACTAGTCATGTGATGATATAGATTTAATTATCTCACTCATATGTTTACTGTGTATCAGTTGCAAGTTAAATTTGTATTAGAAAATTTCTTTTAAATCAGCTTGAAACTAAGAAATAGTAGTTAGTCATCATACTAGTTTTTGAGGTTAGCAACAATAGCGTTGCTTTGTTGCCAGATTGCGAAAATAAATGGTAAATGTACATGCATCTACAAAAGTGTACAATGTCCACAACAATTTATATTTTTCAAATTTATAGTTATGACTGAGAATCCATATTTATAACTGTAAATTGAAAAATTCAAAATTATAACTGCAAATTACACTTTGACTCAGAACAATAGATATTAGCACTTTAAATCTATTGCAAAATTATCAAGTATTAAATGTTGATGGAACAAAATCTAACCTGTAACCTAACCAAGATATATTTAAATTTTGTCTCGATCTATTTTCTCTCACATTTTCTATAGGCTTGGGACTGTTAATTTTCGACAGTTTTCTCATTAAAAACTAAGCTAATCTATAACCCGAACTAGCCTGAGTAGTTGGAGAGAAAATTCTGCATCAAAAACTACCTACCTTAGCCTTTGAAGTTGAGTGGAAAATTTTTTGGTCAAAAATCAACCTAACCTAACCAAATCTAGACTCTGAAGTTGAGGAAAAAACTGACTCATCAAAAACTAATCTATAACCTAACCTAACAACACTGTTGAAAAGAACTGCATTGGTATATTTCACATAAGAGTAAGCAATTCAGTATATTCAGGTATGGAGATTTCCTCCACCTGGGAGATGATGCTTTTCGTGAACACAATCCAGAAATAGTCAAGTAGTTTGCATGTGCATTAGACATCGAAAAGTTATTTGAAATGGGAAAATATTATTCACAAACTGGTGACGATGCTACTTGATTTTTGTTATCTTTTGTCGAACGACAATTATAAATGTTTTTATTGTTACGGCTAGTGTGCATTCAGTGTATTTCTAACTTTTATCCATGTATCAAAAAAAAGAGGACAGAGATACAATTAATGTGCACTTGTTTTATTAATGGAAAACGCTATTATTGAAAAGAAAAATGCAGTTTTTATGGTTTATTTAAACAGTTCTGCAACTTTTCTAGAAAAGTAATATACATTAACTTGTTTTCTCAAAGAATAATTTTTATGGAAGCAACAGGATAAATTCATCACTTTTGTAATGGGCTGCTTCCGACTCCCAAGAGTTTCGTTGAAAAATAGTATTTCAAAATCATTTCTGCACAATTTGAGGTTGTCTTAATTGGCTAGTACACCATATTAAATACCTTTAGCTTAACGATTTTCTATACTAATTATTTTTGTTGCCTCAGCAAATATTTTTGCAAATAATTTTTGAACACTGCAAAGTGAGTATGGTTGTACCCATTTAGTGTTTGCTCTTGAATCAACCTACCTTCTACACTATCCTGCCTATCTAGATGTTGTTTCTCCATCTTAGTCTGCCTAGCTAAAAACTGCTCTTTGCTCCATTTCGGAACTTTCTCTCTATCAAAAGCTTTGGAAGGTTTCCCCATCTTGTTTTCTTGGATTTTCTTCTCGATTTCTTTAATATTCCAGTCTGATGTCTCTATTTTTCCTATAGCCCTTAACAAGTCTTTCGGTTTCTTATCTACAGGAACCGGATCTCTCCATTTATTTTCTAAACTTTTTATCCTAGCTGCCAAATCTTCGTCTTTTCCTCCGCCTCGAAACGTCTGACCTGATGTTTTGTTGTCGTGATCCTGTGTAAAACAGCAAATAAGGACAAGTTGAATATACAAAAATTAAGTATACGATTCAGATTTCAGAACGACTTTCAGATGACTCTATTAAAGTATTCAAGAAACACTTCATTGTATAATAGCTTCTTCTGGCACACGAGTATACACTCGCCTGAAGATTCTATTATATAGCGAATCACGTGTGGGGGTTTTGTAAACTTTTTAATGTGAAAATCAAAATATATCTTATTATATAATAATTTTTGATATGGATTTTCATCAAGTACCGGCATCAAATTCATAACTAATATGTTGTGAAATGTTAAGATCAATCAAATCTGGAAACTCAAATTTGTTTCGTCTAGTAGATTTTTCGAAAGCATATGCTGAAAACCACAACTGAATATTAGTAAATCACAACAGAGCAAGACCATGTTAAACTATTCTTAGGCTACACTCAAGTCAAGCACAACAACAGCCTGCTTACGGGGATGTACGTGAACTGTTTCTCTAAATCTTTGACTCGGTCCTCGAATTTTGGCGCAGTTTGCCGATACAAAAATATAGAATAGTCTTCGAACGGTTGCGAATCGGGCTTGGCGTTGGCTTGCAACATCTGCATACTTTTGAGAAACTGTTCTGTTTGCAATTTCCTCTGGTACCTTCTTCGGTTTTGTCTGTCGGCACGATTAGAAGAGATTTCTTCCAGCATCTTTTGACGATCCTCCTTTATGTACAGATAATTGTTGAGAATAATTTATACTCACCAGTGTTTGATGGATTGGAAAAATATACAAATTGTTGACTAATTACTCAATTTGAATATATACTTTCATATGTTATACAAAACTGGCTAACAATGAGTATTTATGTTGAAGAAGGTCACTTTTGCCATGGTCACCAAATAAAATTATTTACTAGTACTTTGGTGAGGTATAGAGGGATGCAATAAATTATTAAACAAAAACATTACATATCAATTTAGTTCCAATATTTTTTTTAATGTCCGTCATTTGATCACAAACAATTTCTACAGAAAAAATTATTAATTTCTCCAAAAATTATTTCTCCCTATTTCATTTTTCTAATAGCAGCCTTTTTTTCCCATTAATTTGAAAACTTTAAACATCAGAAAGAAAACCTAAGTTTATTTGTTATGAGACTGAAAAAACCATTCAAATCAAACTATACTTTATTATATGATGTGCATTTTATCGACAGAGTCAAAGAAAACATAAATTAGATACAATAATGATTGTAATTATTTGTTAGAAAACTCTTATTTATTACAATAGGATTTAACAGCTGGCAAATTCTTTGTTGACTGTTCAAATTGAATGTCGCTAAGTTTTGCGGACCTTAATTCGAATGGTTAGTGGTTGAATAAATTACCACCATAAGAGTAGATGAAATTTCTGAATAAATTCGAGGCGGCGAAGGGAAGTCTAAAACTATTGTTGCTATTGCTAGTGGCACATGAAGTGGGAATTTAGATTCATGTCTGTATAGAAGGCAAGCCATCTCAAAATAAATAGTGAAATTAATGTTAGAATTACGAGGCTGTTCAAAAATTAAGGTGGATGTTCAAATTTCGCGGGCTAAGTACACTCGATTATAGTATAACAATTTTCAATTGAAGGTAACTCATATACAAATTGAACTGAGAGCTATCGGCAACAATGTTGAATGTTAGAACTAAATGCTTACCGGGGAAATTTTTATTGTCTATGCATCGCCATTGTAAATAATTGAAAAGTAAGATGATTCCATAAAATTTGCCCTCCGTAACAAGATAGCTTCTGCATATCGATAGGATGTACGAGCGAATAGGTGAACCAGTTCGTTAAATACTTTGAAACATCGGTAAACTGACCAACACTTCGCAGGTCTATTATATTTGCGTCCTTAAAATGCCATAACTAGTCATTCGGTTTCTTCATTATCAAGCGTCCTTATATGCATAGGCGTAGTGTGTTCTGTTTCTTGTAAAGGTGACTTTGTTTTGTATTTATTAAATATATAAATTGATGGATGTAGCCGTTACTATGTGCTATAAATTCATAATGAAAAAAGAAATGAAAATTTCTATGTTTTTTACCACTTTCATTTGTAACTAACGTTACTGCAGTTCCGTCCTATACGGAAGTTTGAAAATGTCCGTATAGGACGAAACTGCAGTAACGTTAGTTACAAATAAAAGTGGTAAAAAAACATAGAAATTTTCATTTCTCTTTTCATTATTGAATATATTTTATTATATTTAGTAAATAGACTGGTTATATTTATTAACTTTAAAATATAAGATAGAGTTGGCCGATACTTATTTTTCAAAATACATTATCATACATTTTCATTACATTCACACTTTATTGTGAGATAATTAGTTGACCTAGTGATTAAACTCAGGTATGAATGTTCGTTAAACTCAGGTATAACTGTCATTAATTAGTTCCTAGAATATTATTAGTTTTTAGGTAGATAGTAATATTTCAAAAAGTATATATAAAACACAATACATGTAGAATTCAGTTTGTTAGTGAACACACTTGAAAAAGCTACTGTGCAGCGTAACACGTGTTGAGGATTTGTTAATCTGTTCTAGTGAAAATCTCACAATAAAGTGTTTTTCAAAATACATCAACTTTAAAATAGTTTTTGAGGAAAGTAAACAACTGACAAATAGCCGAATAATATGATTGAATTTTATTATTTTTTTAGTAATAAGATGGATGCCGTAGCAGGTCCAAGTAATGTACAAAGAAAGCTCAAGTTTATGTCGTTAGAAGAAAAACAGATTGCCTGTAGAGTGTACGAAAATTTAAAAAATACACTCCGTACAGTGGAAGCTGTAGCCCAGTGTTCATTTTTAACGGGAATATCCGTGTCGACAATTGAACGCATTGAACGTGAAAAAAAAAGTGAATGGGATTGTGCAAGCTCCAAAAGTACATTGTCGTGGTAGAAAAAAATTTAATTGGACGAGTACCAGAAAAATTTTGTATGCTATACCATTCCATTCTTTCTTTTTTGAGAATAAAGCGCCAACCCTCGAATCCATTAGGATTAAGGTAATGGATAATGATCTCATTCCAAAAATGAGCTTAATGAAGTTAAGGAAAATAATAAAAGAAGATTTAAAATTTATATATGCCAATTGATCCCGTGAATCTGTCTTAATAGACAGAGAAGATATAGTCTCATGGCGACGGAGATATCTTCGCTCTATTAGAGAAATGCGTTCTGCTCAAAAATAGATTTATTATCTGGACGGAACGTGGGTGAATGCTGGTCATACAGTATCTAAGATCTGGCAAGATACTACTGTAACTAGTTATCGTCAAGCATTTGTGTACGGTTTATCAACAGGGTTACGAGGACCAACGGGTAAAGGGCAACGACTAATTATCGCCCATATAGGTAGCGAGAGTGGCTTTTTAGACTATAGTGCACTAATTTTTTTATTAAAAAAAAAAGGAGGATTATCACGAAGACATGGACGCCCAACGCTTTGAAGGATGGTTTGAATCCCTTCTTTCACGAGTCGAGCCAAATTCGGTAATAGTAATGAATAACGCTTCTTATCACAGCCGATTAGTAGAACAGCTGCCAACTATGACCACCATAAAAGTAGACATGCAGAGTTGGTTAGGACAAAAAGGAATTCCATTTTCCGAGGACATGGTTAAGGCCGAGCTTATGAGAGTCATTAAACAGCATCATGACAGATATCGCCAGCATGTGGTGGATACAATAGCTTGTGCTGAAGGCATCACCATTTTGAGACTTCCTCCTTACCATTACGAGTTAAACCCGATAGAATTAATTTGAGCTCAAGTTAAGGGTTACGTAGCTCGTGAAAACGAAACATATAAAATTTCTGATGTCCAACGTTTATTAGAACTCGCAATGGAACGGATACGGAAAGAAGATTGGGCTAATGCTGTAGCTCATGTGATCAAGGAAGAAGAGAAATTGTGGAAATTGGACGGGATGGTAGACACTATTTTCGACCAAAAATAATAGATTTAAGTGTGACTGGGGATTCCTCTTCGGACGAGTCAATGGATTCTGAAACTTCATAAGCATAACATAGGTAATCATTTCTTTGCTTTGTAGTTCTCTTTCTATATAAAAGGAACATAATAATTATTTTGTAAATTTTTCTGTTTTTCTAAGGTACTGTATTAGGCATAATGAAAAAATGTAATCAGTTTTACCATTGACACCAGGTAGCGCCACCTACTATAACAATTTTTACGTAATTACCTATGTGTTTAAATAAATATAAATATTATTTTGGTACGCCTCTGCCGAGTTAGTAAGAGGATTATCCGTTGGTCACTTCAAGTGCGAAGTTGCTAATGAATCACCTTCAACTGAAAATTGTTATAGTATAGTGATTTTTTAAATTTTTTTTCAAGTTAGTACACTCGTCTGGAACATATGCTCACAGTTTAAGCAGTTTAGCATGTTTAGTCGGTTGGTGAGGATATAAAAGTTAGAAGTGTTTTGCGAGTCCGGCGATTTTCTTTTATCGAAAAAAATGTATCAAAACAATTGAATCACATTTTATGCAAAAAATGAGTCAAGCGCTCAAAAACATTTGACATGTGTACTCTGAGTTGGAAAAATGTGACGCTCGCCCTGCACGCCTCATCACATCAACAACTGATGTAAATGTTGAGAAAGTGAAGAAAACTGTTGCGGAAAATTATTGAATCACTATTACAGAAGTTGCTGCCGTGGAGTTTTTTCAGAAATTTTGGGACTCATATGGCAGCGGAGTTCGTTCCATAAGCGTTGAATTTTGACAAAAAAAACCGTCGCATCAGCATCGCTCAGGAATTGTTGAATGACGTCATCGGCGATCCAGATTTGCTTAAAAGGGTCATAACTGGTGATGAATCATGGGTATATGGTTATGCCAATCCAAAAAAGAACGCCAAGTTCGATGAATACAAAAATATTTTTTGAGAAATTTGAAAATTCACCTCATTTTTTGAACATACCTCGTATATCTCATCAATGGTACTAGACAACTAGTTTTTTTCTAATCAAGATATACACTTGAATAATTTTGTCTTCAGGTAGTTCCTCAGGTACATTCGGAACTACCTTCTATTCATTATCCCAAATTAGTTATATATGCATTTATATTCCAACCAATTTATTGATAGAAACCGCATTTGACGGCAGTTAAAAAAATAATGAATACTGAATTCTAAAACATGTTCTAGATCAATAAATTCGAAATAACACACAACTACAAAGAAAATGAGAAGCACCAATTGGGTAATATTTTAATTTAATTTATGTTACACATAAATGTTTCTTCTTACTGGTCAGGAATTAAAAATATAATTCTGGTAGCCGTACTGTTCCGAGTTTACGAGTATGTCGAGCATAAAAAGCAATACCGCCACAATTCCAGTTTCAACGAATGCACGGAGGAAAAAGGAAAGCATCTGGAAAAAGGAAAGAATGAGGAAAATGGATCAATGGTCGTAAACAGGAGCTTCGAATTTGGATTCATTCATTAATTGAGATTCCTTCTCGGGGTTCAACGTATACATAACCATACATTTAATATGTTTCACTTACCACACTGGCTCCTACTCTCTCAAGTGTTCTACGTTTCCTTGTTTTTCTATCCACATTACACGTTTTTTGAGACAAAACTTCAGCATGTCTTTTGTGCTGCCTGCTAGAAGGCCTTGACAGTTGACCCCCTGTCTGAGGTTGAACACTGGACGTTTTAATGGTCTTGAACGATACCTCACTAATTTTCACACTTTCAGGCAAATCCTGAAAATGAAACTCATATGAAAACAGGCTAAAACTTATTTTACAATTCAAATATTATGGACGAGTCAAAAATTAGTTTGTACAAAATTCATTTTATCAGAATTTAGCTACATAAAAAACAAGACAAACAAAACAACTACCAGTTGAATCATAGGTAATAGGTATCAAAATTTGGGAAAAAATAAAAATTTAATTTAAGTGTTAAAATATGTAATAATCTTCCAAAGAAATTATAAATAAAACAACAAAATTTAAACCAGAATTAAAAAAGTTTCTGCTTTCTTTCTCATACGAATAATAATTTATTCAATTACTATTTCACTTTTATTCCTGTGTAAAGAGTCTGAAGCCGCCCCTGACCAGTACGCCGACCGAATCATGGAACAAACACATGACATCACCGCGAAAGAATGCAGTCGGGAATCGCCGGTAAAATTCTAGTACCGGACCGTCTACAAAATTCTCGAGAGGATCGTTACCGATATAAGTACGTCTTCCCGATCCAAGAGAGCAGTTCAGAAAGTGAATCAAGCTGCTAAAAAAAATTCAAATAGTGGAAATAAATTAAGCGTTAGTTGCTAAGTATTGTAATAAATAAATTAGTTTGTGATTAGTGAAATATTGCTGGAAATAAATTTGTTTAAGACAGTTAATTCGTTAATTTGTCACACCTGTTATGAACATTCTTGTTTCTTGGGATTAATTAAGATTTTAATTATTATCAATATTATTATAAATTTCTGATTTTTACTCAAAATTAATTGAGGTCAAGCATAGCCTCTATTATAAAGTACTCAAAATGTCTCATAAAATCATGGTAGAATCAATGATATGGCAAAGACCAGATTGTAGTGTCAACAGACTAGCAAAAATAAAGTTTTCAGTTTCTCTTGGTTGATTTATCATTAGTATAATATTTTCAAATTATCCAAATATCACAAAAAAACTATCTGTCCCAGCAAACTTATAGCCAAAGTCAACAACTACCACTTAAGACTTTTTGGAGATATATCTCAAAAATTCTAACAATATGATATTCTATATTCAGAATGACTCAAATTTCTTCAAATATCAATCATGCAAATAAATATTTAACAAAGAAATGCACAGCCAAATGGCCTTCCTATATGTATAGCGAATATAATTTTCTCTTATTTTCTATGGAAGTTATTTTATGTGAAAGACAAACAATGAAAAAGTATAATAAAGTGAACACAAAAGTAAAAAAATTATACCCTCTCAAGCTTTTCGGATACATCAAATTTTTAATGTAGTGTTGTCAGTAATGGTAAGACTTTTCGAGAATAGAATCAGATTTTTTTAAAGAAATTTTACTCACAGTTTACAATTACAAAACCTGAAGTGTAAGCTAAATGTATGGTATGTTTGAAAATGAAAGAAACTGACTGATCATTTTTAAGCATTCCTTAGATCAATTATTGGAGTTGAAACAGAAAGTGTTCTCAGCGAAGAAATTTGACTAGTTGCCATGGACATGGCTTTTCCTTTCAAAACACTGTTTAAAAAAATATGTATGAAAAAGTGCTTTCATGTATGTAAAACATAGGTTATGAATTATCTGTTACTTCCAAATGGTGAAATGAATAATGGATTGTTAAAATTGAAAATGCTAAACTTTGACATGCTATATATTTCAGGAACACCCTGTATACTTCAAAATTTTAAATTATGGTGACACCTGATTGGTACGCCAACGTTTCGAAATGACTTATTTCTCAGAACTTGCCTATCCTCTAGGGACAATAAAATAATAATTATAATAACAATTTGTTTCCCAAAAAACATACAATGTTTATACTAGGGAAAAAACAATACAGAAAAGAACAAAAAAAAGTGCAACTAAATTGTTTGAATGAAATTGTAGGAGATATAATTTCCAAATTTGTTTTTCAAATTATTGTATAATTTAAAACCACTCAAAAACTCGATTGTTCACTACCTAAATTTGATGTAATTATGATGACTTTGTGAAGTTATGTTGATCAATATTTATTTCAAAAATCAGATTTGTTTTTTGTCAGAAGAATAAATCTGCAAAGTTTGAGTTTGTATAACATATTTTTTGGTTTGTATGAGCTAATAGTTAGTTTCTTATAACCCAATTTGGGAGTACAATTCATAACCTTATTCTATTACCCTATAAATAATAAAGTAATTGTTTTGTCCCTGGTGTGTATTAAATGTATTATTATTATTATATAGAGAAATTTTAGGAGCTTTTAATGACCAAAACTAAGATCGCACCCATTATGAAGAACCACATTTCCAAAAATAGTTTCAATGGACAAATTGGTAAAATTTCCTTATCCAGGTTCGAGCAATTTTTATTCCAATTCGTAAATTAATATCTTTGTCGTCAGCAAATCACGATTCCAAAATTGAAGTTTTTGAAAAACGATCATTCCGGGGGTTCATTTCTATCAGTAAAAACTTTTCATGATCGCAAGCTTCCTCAAACTTTTATTTTACACAAATAACCTTTTTAAAACCCTAAGTGATATCGATGCTTCAATAACTTTATTATTTATTGGCAATATTACTTTACGTTGTTTAGTATATGATGATTACTTCTGCAAAAGAATCCGTTGCTAATGTTCTGAATCATCCTCTAAAAAAAATAACGCCGACCGCCGCTGGTCGCTGTAAATCAATTGTGACATGGCCAATATCGCGCTCAACTAACTACGACCATTATAGGTGTCGCTTTGCTTCGGGAATGATTCTATCGGCTTCGAGTGAATTCGGTTACCATATATATAAACGCTACCCATACCCTGAAGTTAAGTTTCGCGGGCAGTGCGATACGAGGAGATCTAATAAGGCGACAGACATTTGGATATTAGTTGAAGTTTAAGTTAAAGTGTTTGGTTGTATTAACAGTGAAATGACGTTAAGTTTGATTATTGTTCAGTGTAGTCAATTATTGGCAAACCCACAGCGAAAACATAACAATATACTATTATTGTTGCTGATGATGTTAAGATGCAACCATTTGGTAGTTGAGCAAGTGATACATTGTTGAAAAACAACCCATGAAATTATTGCTGTTTAAAGAGTAAATATAAGTACCACAAAATTTGTTTCTACTCAATGACTTTTTTTATTTTACAAGTAATTGAATTTTTAGCGAAAAATGTCTTTCACGAATGAATAAAAAAGAGATATGATACAAATTTATTACAAATACGATAGAAAAAGTGTTATGTAGTTAATGTAGTTAAATTTGTATGCCGAAAGACGACAACCACATCATTACTATGTTGTATCAAAATCTCACCGAGTTTGGTACTTTTGAAAAGCCAATGAAAAAATACGGAGACAGAATCAACAACAAAATTTGATAAATGAGGTGTGTATGAGTTAATTAGATATTGTGTCCTTTTCAATGAAAATAGAACTTTGAACAAATAACAATAATTAACTGAAATGTAAAGACAAAAGTAAATCACAGCAAATACCCAAAATGAGAACCTTGTTCATGATAATACAACTCTCTAACAATGCTGTATTGAAGGTCTTCAACATTTTGATATTCCTTCTGACCATAAACTCTATTTTTCAGTGTACCCTATTAGAATGTATCCATAACACTCAAGTCTGGGGACCTTGCTGGCCACCTCACCGGCCCATCATTCCCTATTCATTTATCACCAAACCTTTCAGTCAGGCAATTAGATAATCGTCTGGTAGTGTGCGGTGGAGCACCATCATGTTGAAACCAGATGTTGTTATAGTTAGCCAAAGGTAAATCATCCATTCAGAATTCTGTCAAATAAATGAGGACACAAATTTTATCTTTATAAATGTCTGCCCAAATTTCGGTTGAATATCCCACAATTCGTAAAAGTGCTTTCATCTGTCCAAATTACATTTTCCAGGAAAACAGGAAAATCAGGTCTTCTTATTAGCCGATTACAACATTCTGATCGCCTTTCGGGATCACCTGGATGGAATTTTCGAGATATGGGTATTTTATAACATTTTAAACCGCATTTTTTGAGATGTCTCCAAGCACTTGTATGACAAATATTCATTTCGGAGAAAATTTAACGTGTAAATTTTTGCAAATTATTAATATTTATTGAAAAGGACACACTGTCTAACTTACCTCATACATACCTTATTTATCAAATTTTCTTTAGTTTCCTGGTCCATTATGTCTCCGTATTTTTTCCTCGGCTTTTCAAATGAACCAAACTTAGTGAGATTTTGATCCAATAACTTGAACATAGTACGATGTAGTTGTCGTCTTTCGGGATACAAATTTAACTACATTCCCGATATCCTTCCTAACAATGTTTCTATCGTATTTGTAATAAATTTGTATATTTGTATATTCATTCGTGAAAGACATTTTTCGCCAAAAATTCAATGACTTGTAAAATAAAAAAAAGTCATTGAGTGGAACAAATTGAAAGTCAAATTTAAAAACATCAAAGTCAAAACCTATTACGATAAGAATTAATTTAAGAATAATAACTTATGATACATCATTGAAAAGGTAAAATCTGGTTCTATTCAAAACAGAAAGAATCCAATTTAGCGTCCATGAGAAAAAATAAAGTTGATGATGGTGGCAGGAAGACGAAACGTCGGATAGCAAATCTGAAAATACCATTATGTAGCAGGGAAAAAGTGGCAATGTGGAAGTGCAATATATTTTCGCATCCTTCAGAAAATGAAGCCAGAAAAAAATAAAAACCATTTTCCGAAATTTCTGTTTTTTCCGGATATCTCCGGATATACTCGGAATTTCAAAACTTTCTCAACGGCTTATTGTTAGTCAGGTAAATGCGCAACTTTGCCCTAATTTAACCATCTTCGTATCTATCATAGTTTCCGAGATCCCAATGGTGAGGAACGAATTTGAAACACCCCGTATAGTTTTGAGAAAAATAAACATTTTGTATGAAAAAAGCCCAGAAATGGTATAATTCATTCATAATTCATTTTGCGCAAAAATAGATGTTCGCCTTTTACTTTTACTTGATAGGTCAATATTTACCTTACTATAAATGGAAATAATTAAAAGAAAAGAAAATTAGCTCGAACAAGAGTCTATTTCCTCACTGCATTAACAAAAAAAAAATTTCGTTCGCACGAACGAAGACTAAACAAATATCAAACCAAATCAGTAGGGACAGAACAAAAAAAACTCGTAAAAGTAATGAGCCACCGCGAAATAAACCAAAAAAAGGATATCGATCACGACGGATGCACCTACAGATTCCTCTCCCTCGACGATGACGGAAAACTGCGTGGGGGGCGCCGACGCAGACTTCAGGTTGCCGCCGTACTGGAAGGGGGAGTACTGCGAAAACTTCGACAGCGTCCTCACCGACTTGTTGTTGATGTGCTTCAACCGTTCGGCGAATTTTTCCTCGGAGGAAACGGGAGCCTCGCAGCCCTGCGAGAAATTCACCACGTCCGTCCTCTCTTCCACCCTAACCCCGTCGTATTGGTCCATCTTCGAAACGGAAGTGATGTCGGTGATCTTGCTGTTGGAGACGATGGTGTCGACGTCGGTGTCGGCTTTGCTGTTGTCCTGCGACAGAAAGTCGTTCGAGCTGATCCAGTTGGAGACCCTGCTGTAGATCTGGTTGTGCATGCAGTCGCCCTCGTTCATGGTACCTTTCTTGGACGGAAATTTACGTGTTTGACAACGAAACTGTGACTGACATCTGGAGTTTGACGTTTGCTTCAGACTGCCTGCTAGACCACACAGCTCGGCGGGCACGGAACAACTTTTGGGCAGACCATTTGAGCACTTGGTGTAACGCAGCTTTGATTGAAGCTCGAGCACCCTTTGCTGCTGTCTCGGCTGGGATATACCGACTTTGGACGAAATCGTTAGCTGGTTCAGTGAAGATACGTACTCTATGTTTTGCAGAGTGAATTTGTTCCGAGTCGTTTTCTCTATCAAGCGGATTTTGATCAAACTTTCACTGCTGGGAACTCTGCTCGATGATTTTGCTTCGTAACAGCACCTTTCCGAACTGAGACGTTCCTCCACCAGCAATTCTTCTGTCTGTTCGAACCGTTCGGAAGCAGAATTTACGCAGTCTTGTCCTTTATTGAACATTGTAGCTACGTTACAAAGAGAAGATTCGGTGCCGGTTCTAAACTCCGTAGCGGAACTCTCGAAATATCGCGATTCCATTTTATGACTATCCACGTTGTCAAGCCTAATTTCCTCAAAGGTCTTCTCCGTCTCTTCCTTGCTCTCATTCTCGCTAATCTCGCATTTGGGTTCTTTCCTTTGAACTGGAATTTTACTGTTGTGACTATTCAAGTTCAGTGGTTCTTTGCCATTCGCAATGTCAATGTTAGTTTCCGAAATCACCGATAGAGTACATTTTTTCAACATCGATTTCTTCTTCTTCAACAATAGTTTGGTCATGAAACTCTTCAGCTTCTCGTTCCTCAGGGCCACGATTTTTTGAAGACATTTCTCTTCTATGTCGTCACGTGGTACTAACTGACTCTTTGAGATGCTTTCTATCCTGATAGGCGGAGGAGGAGGAACCTTTACTTCAACAATGTCAACACCCATACTTTTTGTCTTTTCCTTCGGCGTTTCTTTTGCAGACTTGATTGTTGATTTACGCTTTTTGTCAACTTTCTCAGACCTTCTTGGATCAAACTGACTTTCATTGCTTTGCTTCTTTTTAACAGAAGGTGGATGAGCTCTAGGCATTCTCGATAATCTTCTAAACTTGTCCTTAACATCAGACTTGTTCGATTCTATTTTGACATTTTTCTCTGGAAACTGAGCGTTTGATTTTGCGGTCTGGGTTGTTTTTCTTTCAGGATGATTTGAGGGATAAGTTTTTATTTCAGAATTGTACGCTTCAAAACATTTCTTACAAGGTTTTGTTTCCTTTTTCGTATGACGTATAATTAAAGAGGACTTGGGTTTGGGTAGGACGAGTGGTTTGGGAATTCTTGAAGGAAGTTTCTAAAAGGAAAATTGGTGATGACTAATGTGTGGTAGAAATTTGGAAATTCATTTTGTTGATCTGTTTTTAAAAAATAAAAAGAGAGATGATGAACAGGGTGTTCCGTAACTATATCGGCAAATTGAAACTGAAATTTCCCTTGATGAATAAATTATATTTTTCAAGAGCAATTTTCCCGAAAGACACTCTGTTTCAAAAATACATGTTGAAAAAATGAAAAGACGTTTTTGGGCATAATTATAGAGTTCGTGATTTTTTTTAAAACAATTTAAGTTATAATCACTTTTTTTCCAAGTTGAATAGGATTTTCTGCACCTAGAGAAGTGATCGGATAATATTTTACTCCCTTATTTTAACACCACAGGCAGGATTGCTGAAATTTCAGTATTTCTTGCAGCTCACATTGAAATTGAGTCAGTTGATACGTGAAGAAGAGTACTTTGACCACGCCACTGAAGTTGACTGCCGCAGTTGCAGTTGAAACGTTAGGAGATTGTAATCGAAGAAGACCACGGCAACCTGACAGACACATAATTGGTAGACAAAGGGAATACGGATCTCTGAAAAGTAACATGAAATGCACAGGAAGAAAAAGATACGATAGGAATGTTTCTGCAAAATAAAGAACTTTGGAGGTTGAAATTCCTTGATAATATACCCACCAAAACAATATACAGTGCATTTCTTTAACGTCCCCCCCTTTTTATTTTTGAACGGGTCAACTCAAAAAATTGAACTTTGGGATAATGAAATTAATGCATGAATACTTTATTTTGAAGTGAAATTAACAGATGAAACCTTCAAGATGGCAACTGGGAAAAAATTAAATGGAAAGGAGAGTCTTGTGACACATCATTTTGAAGCTCCTGGCGAATACTTCACAACCCTAGAATATGAAGACAATATCTTCACCTACTACAAAATGGCGGAACATTTAATAATTTCCTGAAGACAAACACATTGATATCGATATTTATAGAAATATTCCTTTTTATCTGCCATATGGCAATCCCAACAACCCGATAAGGTTTGTTGAGTTATTTTTTTGTTTATAAAAACGATAAAAAATTACAGTACGACAATGAACATCATTGTTCATTGTCGTTGTTTTACTCGTGGAAAGGTACCACGTCAACAATCTCTAAAATGGTCAATTCTCGTCCATTAGAAAAAAAAATCGAAGCGATTTTTATTTACGGTGCGACACGTAACTTTCACGAGACCGAAAGGATTTTCAATGAACATTTTCCGAATCGTCCTATCTGTAGAAAATATTTGAGGGAACTTGTATCCAAATTCACAACTACCGGTAGTGTACATAACAAAAAGCCCCCAGGTCATCCGTCCATTCCGGAAGAATAGCAAGTGCAAATAATTGGTGAGATGGTAGTAAATCCAGAACAGTCTTCTTATTCCGTCACGAATGTTTGTGAGGTGCCTCCTTCTACTGTGTGGAGACTTTTGAAGAGGAATAGATATCATCCAAACAAAATTAAAATGGTGCACCAGATAACTGAAGGTGACCCTGATCAAAAAACAGGATTCTGCGAAATCATGACGGAAACCATTGCAAGGCATCCTACCTATCTCCACAATATTTGTTTTAGTGACGAATGTACATTTTTTTAAACGGCAATGTTCACAGACAAAATTGCCGTTATTGGAGTGACAACAAACCTCACGTTTTCTGGGAAACGCATACCCAATATCTAGAAAATTAACGTTTGGGTAGGAATATTGGGAAACCATATTGTAGGACCTCTATTTATTGATCAAAATTCAACAGGGGAACTGTATTTGAATATGATGGAAACTACTGTTGACCCTTTCATCACTGAAATCGTCGAAGCGAATCCTAATGAATTCGACATGGATATTGTATTCCAACAAGATGGAACATCACCACATTACTCCAGACAAGAAAGAAACTATTTGGATACTACTTTTCCCGGTCGTTGGATTGGCCGTCGAGGTCCTACAGAATGGCCAGCCTGCTCGCCAGATTTGACACCTTTGGACTTTTTTCATGGAGCTATTTGAAGCAAAAGGTGTACGAAACTGGACCTGCTTCAATACTGGATATACGGCAGAGACTAATAAATATTTGTAGAGATATTGACGTTACTGTGTTCGAAAATGTTTGGCATGAAATATTGGATAGGCTGTTCATATGTCAAGAAGTTCAAGACAACCATTTCGATCATCTTCTGAACTGACCTCAAGCTTATCACCTACATATTATGTAGTTAAATATCAATGTATTCAGGCAATTATTAAAAGTACCGCCATTTTATAGTAGTTGAAAATATTGACATTATATTCTAGGGTTGTGAAGCATTTGTCAGGATCATTAAAAAGATGTGTCACAAAACCTCCCTTTCCATTTAATTTTTTTTCCCAGATGGCCCCCAGTCGCTATCTTAAAAGTTTCATTTTGTGAATTTGGCCCAAAGCAAAAGGCGAAGTTCAGTTTATAAGATGTTATAAAATCAGCTCATAAACTCTTCTTTCACTCAACCTTAAGTATATCGCTAGGTGTGTTGAACTTAAAATTATAAAATAATGAAAGAATATCAACCTTATCTGTTTTATTTCGTTGAAGTTCAAAAGTCGTGTGCTGGAGATCAACAACTGAATAATTAGGAAACATCGTCGTGAATGAAATATTATTCGCAACCTTCTCAATATACGTGGACTGTTGAAAAAATAAGGCGAATGTTCAAATTTCGCGGGCTACGTACATTCGATTAGCGATTTTTTTTATTTTTATTTATGTTGGTAGACTTGTCTTGAACAAATGTTCACAGTTTCAGCTGTTTAGTTTGTTGGTGAGAGGCATATAAGTTATAATTTGTTTGCGTGTACGACGCTTTTCTGGTATCGAAAAAAATGGAATTTGCATAAAATTAAAAAAAAAAATGGAATTAAGTGCTAAAACACACTCGAAATGTTGACAGTGGCATGCCTTGATTGTACTCTGAGCCAGAAAAATGTTTAAAAACTGGTACAAGCTCTTTAAAGAAGGTTGAGAAAATGTGAATGACGACGCTCGCCCTGGTCGCCTCAGCATACCAACAACCGATGAAAATGTTGGGACAGTGATCAAAATTGTTATTGAGAGTTATCGAATCACTATCAGAGTCACTGGGGATGTTGGAATATCGGTTGACTCACGGCATACAAACTTTTCTAAAATTTTGGGCACGAAGCTGGCTGCGAAGTTTGTTCCAAAATTGCTGAATTTTGACAACAAAAAACGTCGCATGAGCATCGCTCAAGAATTGTTGAATGACGTCAACGGCTACCCAGATTTGCTTGAGAGGGTCGCAACTAGTGACGAATTATGGGTATATGGTTATGACATTGAAACCAAAGTCCATTTGTCCCAATGGAAGACCACAGGAGAACCAAGACCAAAAAAGCACGTCAAGTTCGATCAAATGTCAAAGTTTTGCTCACTGTTTTCTTCATTTATCAAGGCGTAGTGCATCACTTCTTGCCACATGGTCGTATGGTCAATAAGGAGTATTATCTTGAAGTTACGCGCCGCTTGCGAGAACTAATACGAAGAAAACGTCCGATATTGTGGAAAAACAATTCATGGCTTTTGCATCAAGATAATGCACCTGCTTATTCGTCACTGATTGTTCGTAATTTTTTGGCCATAAACAACACCGTAATCATGCCTCAGCCACCGTATTCACCCGATTTAGCCCCCTGCGACTTTTTTCTGTTCATTAGATTAAAGAGACCCATGAGACGCATGAAGGTACAAAAAAAAATCAAAAGTATGGTTTATTTATCGAGGAATCTCCAGTTTCAATTTGACGATGTGAGAACACCTTGCATATATCCACTTTGCTTAATGTGAGCACCAAAACCATTTCAATATTTACATCTGTGCACGTCACAAATTGGTAGACTTATAGCTGATTCAACAAAAAAACGGTCCCAATATTGGGAGAAAAAAGAAAAATTCGATAAGCAAGAGTTTAAATTGGCCGCGTGTCTGTTGACCAATAAAATTGATCGTGTCTACAGCGGTGTTGCCAAGTGTCAATTATTTTTAAGAAAAATACGAAGTTATGAAACATTACAAAGAGTACATTGTCTCATACATTCAAGAGAGATAGCTGACTGGGTGGCAATGTGGCTAATATATAACGTTGAATTTCTCATTTTTGGTGGGTGGCATGAATGCATAATTGATTTATTTTATTAGGGTTCACGAGTCTTCGAGAACCATTTAAAAATATGGCACGTTAAATTTTATTTAGATCCATGGTTTTCGAGTATATTTTATTTCATATGGGGAATTTTTCCATGAATTTAAACGTTAAAGGGTTCATATACACTTCCATTATTGAAATTTCTATGATATCAACATGAAAATATCTACTGCCGGAGATATTTCAAAAATAACGTTTTTATTGCGTTTTGTGTTATTTGGATCCCATGTATAATTAATTCTCCCTTCCAATGCATTTCTTACACTTTCTTCTTAGATTTAGTTGTCTGAAGTGAGTGTAATTTTACTTCGAATCACGAATGAATCAGAAACTATTTATACGCTCCGTGCATTTTACAATTTGGCAATGTTCATTATTTGTATTGTTCCTATTGGTCAATGGAACATGAAGCGGGACTAGGCCCGTGACGTCACGGGCCTAGAAAATCCGATTTTTATTAATCAATTACGGGAAAACAACGCTATTCAGAGAGCTGAAACAAAATACACTATTTTTCAATTTGAAATTACTAACAAATAAACCATAAACCAAAAATCATGAAACACGCCCATTGCATGTATTCACGAGAGATCATATTCATCGGAGTGAATGTTACATATCTCATAATTTTTTTAAATTTCTTACGAAGTGGCCGCCATTAATTTAGAATACACGTGTATTCTAAACGAGCCATTATCTACCTGCTGTTGTACACGTAATGGATAGTTTAAAACGGAGGGAGTAGAAAAAAAAGTTTCATGCATAATACTTACCAGTTTCGGCAATCTTATGTGAGGAATTTCACCTCTGAATGCATCATAAATTTCAGCGAGATAACTGGCCATTGTTAAGTAGTCATCTGTATTGGTTATATCCGCTCCCGTCATAAGAGGTGGTATCCCTACAATGCAGTTGAAGGGTTCAAATACTAAAGCATTCATATCAATGTAGAAGAATCGATATAGACAGAAGATGTCAGAAACTATTGATAAATTTAAAAAATGAAATATTGATTCAACTCTATGAAAACTTGTTAGAAAACAACCACATTTTTGAGGAATAGTTGGAATGGTAATCCAGTAGTGTTGATTGATTGATTGATTGATTGTTATGTGGGACAAATGCAGTAAACTCATGCGACCGCAATGTTTTCCAGAGACTTGGTAGAAATAAACAAGTCAGATGGCTCCCAGAAAAGGTCTCGCTGACATTAGACGTGGAGTATTGGTTCTCATTACTGAAAGACAAGTTTAATCAAAACTGTTTTACGGACAAAACCAAAACTTTGTCTGAGACTGGAGCCGTTCAATTACAATGAAATAAATTAATGGGTGTAGCCGTTACTATGTGGTAGAAGATCGTCATGAAAAATGAGAAATAAAACTTTCTATGTTTTTTTACCACTTGTATTCGTAACTAACGTTACTGAAGTTTGGTCCTAAAAGGACGTTTTCAAACGAATACAAAAACTTGAGAATAATTGATAATTTCAGCCCTTATATATCTAAACTGCGTCTCTATTGATATTTTATCACAAAAACGGAGACACTTTGTCTTTGTAGGCATACTACACAATCCGCTAGCATCATACCTAAATGAGAGAAAGCAATGTGTATCATATAATGAAGAACTCAGTAGCTTACAAAAGATCTTGAATGGTGTTCCTCAAGGTAGTGTGCTTGGGCCACTACTTTTCTTGATTTAGGTATATCAATGACCTGCCAAATTCAATGACAATGTTCATAATGTTATTCGCCAATGGCACTTCCTTCGCCATTCGGGAAAAAATATTGAGAGGTCTCAGAACGAGAAAAGTGAGTTATTCAGGAAGCTACGGACTGGTTCAATGTGAATAAAATCAAGGCCCAAACAGTTATGTTCTCTCTGATAATGTGAAATGTCTTGGTATAACTATTGATTCAAAGTTAACTTGGGAACCCGTATTGATAAACTAAGCAAAAAATCTATCATGCAAGGTATATGCAATCAGGCAGATAAAAAAGTCCGTAATGAAGCTGCCCATACTGTTCATCATGCAATGTTTCATTCATAGTTCCTTAGCTTATGGATTGATAAACTGGGGCACATCTATTCACATCTTGAGAATATTTACAATTCAAAAACGAGCAATCAGAGCTTCAGCTGGAATAGTTCAAATGGAGAGCTGTAAGAATTGGTTTATAAAGTTCAATAAATTGACTCTGCCATCATGTGCCATTTAATACACATTCAGGAAAATTTACAAAAGTTTACGACAAATGGAAACAACCATTCGTAAAATACTAGGAATAAGGATAATATTAGAGCACCAAAACAAATATTAGAAATTACAAGGAGATGTAACTCATTGTACAATTCACTGTCCCAATCAATGGTAAATGCAACCCTTCCTAATTTCAAAAGGAAACTGAAAAAACATCTCTCAGAGAATGCTTACTATGATGCGTCTGACTTCAACTTTACTGAGTGACTATCGTCAATGTAGATACTGTATCTATGCAGATCTGTTTTTTCATTTATAGAATAGAATATTTATTTACCAATATTTGATACAATATTGTACATTTGGCACGTCAATTAAATACAATAGAATCATGTAAGAAAATAAATGATGAAAAGACAGACTGAAAACTGAATCGTCACATTTTTACACATAAAAATATTTTAAAAATATGATTGTATAATATAACTTATACTTGTAAAATTCACAAAAAATCAGGTGTATATGGGACAAAACAAAATATTTACAATGCACAAAAAGTTTACACAATGAGGAAATGATTTAGATTCCTCATTCCTCCTATTTTCAATTTGACAAGTCATTTATTTTTACTTATAAACTCATCTATACCTTCAAAAGCATATATTTATTTACTTCATTTTGTGCTCGTATCATATCCAGTTTTCATCAACTACCTACTGTTTTTCAGTGATTTCAAATGTAATTTACATTTATATTGATTGAGTACCTGAATTTTGTTTACCTGTGACAATGTGGGTACGCTAATTTGAAAACCAGTGAGTAAACTGGACCGATTTGATCATTTAGCAGGTTACATCTGCAATGCTTATGAATTTCCAAAAATTCCAAATAATTGAGTTTCCAACCCTTGATTGCATAGTGGCAAATTTCCGTATCGTTTAGATTCAAGAATTTGTGGTTACATTCCAAGGAATGGTTTGATGAAAGGACCTTTCATGTTCAACATACTGTTTTGAGAAATTTTGGCCACATTGTCCCACATAAAAACCATTACACTCCGGACACCTAAGCTCCTAAACTCCAGATTTCTCCATCTTGTCAATTCTATCTTTGGCATCAAAAGGGAAATTAGCTAACCTGGCATGTGGTCTGAATGCCACTTTCACTTTGTTTTTGCTGAAAAAACCCGCAATTGTCTTGTTATTTTATCAAATTATGTTAGAGTTACAAATTTCTTGATTTCTGATTGTTTGACCTACTGGTATAATATTAATTTGTATGTAAATTCGAGAGCTTTGTTTTCTGACTAACTTCTGCATTGTGTCTGCGTTCAAACCATTATTATGTCCTATCTTTATAATTTTTTCAATGTCCCTATCTAGATTATTAGCAGACAAAGGCAGTGAGAATGCTCTGTGCAAAATTGAATTGTAGGCTGCTAATTTATGACTGTCTGGATGGAAAAAATCACTTGGGATTATAATGTCTGTGTAGCTCAGTTTTCTGAATACATTGAACTCAAATTTACTATGATTACGTGTAATGGTCTCTGTTTCGAGTGTGAACTGAATGTTTTTTTTTTATTTCTCATACATATCATTAATTGGTTCGGTTGTCGTATGGTACCTTTGAAACACCCGAGAATATCGTCTACATATCTGTACAAAAAAAATGTTTCACTCAGGTCGGAATAGTGATAAAAAATGGTGGAAAAACATAGAAAGTTTCATTTCTCTTTTTGCAATGCGGTATTATCAGCTCAACCTTGTGCTTTACTGAAACGTCAAGAGAGGTAAATATTTTGAATATTTATTTGACCTCACTTTTCACTTGACGAACTAAATGCAAATTTATGAAGGAGCAACAATTATAATACTGAATTTCAAAGTCAGATATTCCAGTAACAATATATACCCCAGTAAACTCAGCAGACGGTGTTACCTTTTCCACTTATACATACTAGAACTTACCCAACTCCTTCTCTAGCAAATCGATAGCTATTTGATTATTCTTGGCAGGTTCGTCATTCTTGATTGCACTGTAGTCTAGAAGATCAGGCCTGTAGTGATGTATTATTGCACATAAAACTTTGCCGCTTCTGAAGACTGAATTGATGTCACTTATAACGATGCTTTCTTCCCATTTGAGCTGTTGTGTCAACCAATTGAGCAATAATTCGTTATCGATGTTACCTAAAAGCACACATGACTCATGAGTTGTCAACTGGTTCATGTAAACAGAGTAAGCAAGAGGAGCCAATAACACCCTGGACACAGCAGCAAAAAGGAACATGGTGCCTTAATTTTTTCAAAAAGTAAAAACGTTCCAATTTTTTCTTTCCTTCAATAAGGTATGCAAAAAAACAAACTTTTTACTGTGATCTCCACTTATTTTGTGGAAGAAATTAATATTAAGAATATTTCTAACAGAGTTAACTTAAGTATAGTTTCAGTTTTGCCAATATCGTCTTATAGTTATAATTTATATAATCTTCAAATATTATTATTAGCGTTTTTGTGCTAAATAAAGGAGTAATAATAAACATGATGGACTGAAGATAAAACATAATTTTTGAAATGCCTGTCGTTTGAACTCAACTGAAGCAGGAGAAGCAAGAGATAAAATAAAAATTTGAACCAAAAATGGAAAAAATATTTCAAGGATTAATTAATTTTTTGGAAAAATGCTTTTTTTGGCAATGAAGAATAACACGAAGGAAACTTACAAAGAAAGGAAGAAAGAAAACAACTACAACAAAGAACTCTTTATAAAGCTATGTGAGCATACACAGAAGTTTCTTTCAAATTAAATTCCAATGGCTGGAATACCTAACCGTAAGAATGTCACCAAAATACGAGTGGGTTTGATTGTTTTGGAAAGTCGTAATGTGCTTAATCTTGAATATTACTTAGAACGGTGCTGATGAGGTGATAAAACAAGTGACTTGTCCCGAAACTTCGAAGTATGATAGTATTGCATGTGAGAGATATTCCATATCAATACTCTTTCATAATATATATCATATCACGTAACGGTAATATAAACGATATCTGTTTCAATTTCATAAAGAATGTTTGTATTACAAACTGAACGGGAAAAAGTTATTCTCGTATAATTCAACGTTTGTGTGAAAGCAGTTGTTTTGAAAGATTTTTTCCAGTTTGCATCTGAGAGAAACTTCTGCGCATGCTTTTTGCATCTTTATAAGGAGTTTTCATTGTAATTGCTTTCCTTTTTTCCTTTCTGTGAAAGGTACCCATATTGTTTGTTTACTGATGGAGAAGTAGAAAACCCATATTGGTTTTGATTTCTAAAGCGGTTTTTATCAAGAAACAGACATTATAGGACATTATTAAAAAGTTCAAACGCTACCCATAAGGGCGCTAGCCAATATTACAAATGATAAACATTGACGAAACGTTTCGTGAAATTCTTGTTGTTGTTTTTGAAAAACGAATCAGAGTTTGAAACTGAAAATAATTTACCGAACCTAGATGGTCGTAAAACCCATGATTTCATGTGGCTCATCCTAGGATAATTTGAAAAAAAAAATGGAATTAGGATTCGTCAGGGCTGAATTATTTTCAATCACAACATATTTGTCAAAAAAAAAGATTTACAGTCCACATTATACCAAAGTATCAACTGATTTACGACGACGTTCTGCGACGATTGAGCTCAACGACATAAAAGTAGGGGGGACAAAATAAAAATGAATGAATAAATAAATGTTTTTTGAGTTGAATGAAAATATACCTTATTTTTTGAACAGACCTCAAATATTATGGAATCTTCACGAAACGCTGTTTGAATATGCATCTAATTTTACACACCATCAATTGAAAAATTACAGCAACAAATAAAACACATGGCAAATTGTAAATGAGTTAGCACTTCAACTAAAAGAAAACTCTTAATTTTTGCAACATATATTGTTAATTACACATAGAAATTTCAAACTTTGGTATTTGAATAAAATATTACATTTCTTTTAAAATTTATTATTAGGACCAGTTTATTAAAATGATGAGGAATATAGATTCAAAACTTATATTCACAACTTTCAATTTAATTCACACTTTTTAGTAAATCAACATTTACATTTTCTCATGTAAATATTAGAGTGAAAATGCCAGTTAGTTTCAAAATACACACTTCTAAAATCAAGTTTGTTGAGTTATATATTTTCGAATCTCTTGTAAAAAAGAATTATATAAAAAATCGTTCATAGTTATTCAACCCAAAAACCAAACTCAAGCTGAAAAACTTTAGGTGTTAGCTAATAGCCAATTTCATGATGCTTCACTTTCACACAGAGGCTAACGAATTAGAAATTTTGGAATTGAAAACCACTTCTCGGGCGACCCCAAATACTAATTTATACTCACCTACGATACTCACTGATCTAAAAATTGTAAAGGCCAATATAGGAGTTGAAAGATGATTTCCATTCATCAAAGTAGTTGATACTGAGAATATGAGTTTTGAATCTAAGATCCCAAATAATGGCAACCGAGCTTTCAATTAAGTGAAAATCAATCAGTTCTTGATAATCGAATAGGTTCAATTCTTGAGATTGCTTCAACACTCACCTTTGCTGTTTCACCAATTAATTCAATACCATAGCAATGTTTGAATATTGAAATGTAATATTCTAATGTCAACTCAATAGACTTGAAAATCATGAAAGAGTGTAAAATTTTGTATTTTATTTATCAGTTCAATCAAGAATTATTGAGCTAGAGGCGTTTAAAATTTATAAAACTTTGCTCGTAATACAGACTGAGTGTCATAACGAGACGAGTGAAAAATACATTAAACAGTGAACAAATTTCGAATGATGCAAAGCCTAAATTGTGATAGGATTGAAAAAAGCAAGGATAGAGAAAAATATCTTATCATTCGAAAATTAACAAGTAGGTGAATTGGATTTCACTATTTTTAGTGCAAAAGGTCGTATATAAAAATTATGCACTCTACTAGAGACCATGAAAGCTGATAATTTCCTTATCACCATTTCATATTGTACAGTGCATTTCTTTAATGGCCTCCCTTCTTATTTTTTGAACGGGTCGACACAAAAAATTGAAATTTGGGATAATGAAATTTTTAGGATAGTGACTGGGAAAAAAATTAAATGGAAAGGGGGGTCTTGTGTCACATCATTTTGAAGCTCCTGACGAATACTTCACAACCCTAGAATATGAAATCAATATCTTCACCTACTACAAAATGGCGGAACATTGATTAATTTCCTGAAGGCAAACACATTAATATCGATATTTCTAGAAATATTCCCACAATATTTGTTTTAAACGGCAATGTCCACAGACAAAATTGCCGTTATTGGAGTGACACCAACCCTCACGTTTGCCGGGAAACACATACCCAATATCCAGAAAAAAATAACGTTTGAGCAGGAATACTGGGAAACCATATTATAGGACCTCTATTTATTGATCTAAATTTATTAGGGGAACTGCATTTGAATATGCCGGAAACTACTATTAACCCTCTCATCATTGAAATCGTCGAAGCGAATCCTAATGAATTCGATATGGATATTGTATTCCAACAAGATGGAGCACCACCACATTACTCCAGACAAGTAGGAAACTATTTGGATACTACTTTTCCTAGTCTTTGGATTGGCCATCGAGGTTTTGCAGAATGGCCAGCCCGCTCGCCAGATTTGAAACCTTTGGGCTATTTGAAGCAAAAGGTGTACGAAACTGAACCTGCTTCAATATTGGATATACGGCAGACAATAATAAATATTTGTAGAGATATCGACGTTACTGTGTTCGAAAATGTTCGGCGTGAAATATCGGATAGGCTGTTCACATGTCAAGAAGTTCAAGGCAACTATTTCGAGCATCTTCCGAACTGACCTCAAGCTTATCACCTACCTCATATTATGTAGTTAAATGTCAATGTATTCAGGCAATTATTAAAAGTTCTGCCATTTTGTAGTAGTTGAAGATGTTGCCATGATATTCTAGGGTTGTGAAGCATTTATCAGGAGCTTCAAAAAGATTTGTCACAAGACCCCATATTTCCATTTAATTTTTTCCTCAGATGGTACCCAGTCGCCATCTTGAAAGTTTCATCTGTTAATTTCACTTTAAAATAAAGTATTCATGCATTAATTTCATTATCCCAAATTTCAATTTTTTGAGTTGACCCGTTCAAAAATTAAAAGGGGGGGGGGCATTAAAGAAATACACTGTACGAAATTATGCCAATTAAAATGAGAAGTGTTCAATTTTTACATATGACATTTTTATGTTAGGTAGAATTGGAACTTCTGGCGTGAAATTAATCTACAAGGTGGGGCACCGAAAACGAAACAGATCGAATACCTTCAAAACACATGTGTTCTGAAAAAAATGCAAAAACACGTCGATTTGTAATCCAAGTGGGACATCTTCCTATCATAACCTCAACTGTCATACCTCCCCCTATCCCTCGGTGGCTATCACAAACAATAGGGAAAGTAGTAAGTGTGACACATCGTTAAAAAGGTAATTTCATAAGGAATGCAGCCATGTTTATTTTAGCTACCTAACTTTTCGATTTTGGCGCCTTCTTGCGGGAAAAAAACTGTCCCGTATTCCAAATTATGATACTTCATTCGCAAGTTAATTTGACATAAATTCGGTGACAATTATGGTCCGATTTGATTCAAAATTGATAAGTGGTGGTTTTCAGGGTCGGAAATTATGAATTGTTTTTCAATTTTCAAGATGGTGGCTCCAAAATGGCGGACGAAATTTGTAATTATGGTTCGATTTAACCAGACACCAAAAACGAATTCTTCAAAACACATGTGTTGCGAACATAGAGCAAAAACACGTAAATTTTAAATCCAAGGGGGACAAATCCTATCGTTACTTCAACTGTCATACTTTTCTCCCCACCCCTTGTTCACTCAAACAATTTGATTAAGGAAAGTACTAAGTGTGACACAGCATTGAAAAGGTAATTCCATTAGGAATTCAGACATGTGAGTGTTCGCTACTTAACTTTTCAGTTTGACGCTCTATTGCAGGAAAAACAACTGTTTCGTTTTTCAATCCACATTTTATTCGAAAGGTAATGTGAACAATTCACGAAAATAGAACAACAATTGAAAAAATTACATAATCTAATCATCGCAAACTACTTTAATTCACAGTAGATGCTGAAAGTGTTCGCCATGAACTGCCATAAATGAGTATAAGTTATTCTCGAAATGCCGTCTGACGTTTTTGAGCATTTCTGAAGTTATTTGATGGCATTCGTACCTTTGGAATAACAATTGACTTACTACACCTATGTATTGGTATAATAAAAAACCTTGGATTTAAAATTGACGTGTTTTTGCATTATGTTCACAACACGTGTTTTGAAGAATTCGTTTTCGGTGTCAGGTTAAATCGAACCATAATTACAAATCTTTTCCGCCATTGTGAAGCCGCCATCTTGTTTTTCCCCTAGAAAAACTCCATAATGCATTGTCACCGAATTTATGTCAAATAAGCTTGCGAATGAAGTATCATAATTTGGAATACGGAACAGTTTATTCCTCGCAAGAGTTCGCTGAAATCGGAAGTTAGGTAGCTAAAATTGACATGGCTGAATTCCTTATAAAATTACCTTTTTAACAATGTGTCACACTTACTAGGGGAAGAGGTATGACAGTTGAGGTTATGATAGGAAGATGTCCCCCTTGGATTACATATCGACGTGTTTTTGGATTTTCAGAACACGTGTATTGAAGATATTCGATCTGTTTCGTTTTCGGTGCCCCACCCTGTATAAAAAACATTTTTACCACACCAGAACAAAATTACTGTCTCTCGACGTGCGTTACGCTAACCTAGTCACCATCATGAGGATATGATGCTGACTAGTCATTTCCTAATAGAATGAATGACCTTTTGTACTAACAGTAGCGATTTGATATATCACTTTCAAAATTTTGATTTCAAATCATTAGAAATATCGAATATTATCATGATTGTACTAGTTGTACTTTGAAATAAATGAATGGTGTTCTTTATGATGTCCAATAATGATGTAGCAACTACAAGCTTGGAGAAATCTTTAGTTCGGTGATATGCTGTGAATGAGAATGAACATGAAATTACTTCAAGAAACACATTGATGAATTTTTATGTATCAGGATCAGAGAGAAGGAAAAAGATGATAGATTTGAGTTAGAAGGACATTGTAGCGAAGAGAAGATTTTCAAGAAGTGGCTGCAGTAGCATTTAGAAACAAATAGACAAAACAGGTGATTGTGGGCAAACAAATGACATGGAAACGTATAGACAAAACAGGACAAAATGTGAAAGTAAACTGAGTGAGAGAGGGCTGAGATCATCTGTTATGCTGGGAGACTGGGAAAAGAAAGCGAATGAAACGGCAAAAGTGAAATGAATAAAACTACTGCTACGCAACTTTATTCAAAACTTTCAAAAACACACAAATTATGACACGTTGCCAAACAAACAAACACTTCAAAATCCATAAAACCGTCAATAATGAATTTGAGCAATGAACAGGTGAACACAGGTCGGCGATTATTTTTTTGATTTGTTTTTCTTACTACTAAAGATCCCCAAGAATCTCCAGAAAAATTTACCTCTCCTCTTCTTCTTCTTAGGAACGTCGGTGGGTTTCTCATCCGAAATTCGCTTCATCCTATCGATGCTATTAGGATTATCCGTGTCATAGAGGCAGACCACTTGGTGAGGCATTACGACACTCTTATTGAGGTTCGGATATCTCGTGGAAGGATCGACGGTGTAGGATTTCCAGCCTTTGTTGAGATTATCCGGTGTTGTTTGAGCAAGTAGTCTATAAATGGATTCTCGCTCCGCTATAACTTCTAAGGGACTGTAAGAGCTCATCGACCAACATCTAATGGCCCAAGCGGCGTCAAGAGATGAAAGAAAACCTCTTGCACATCCTGATCCCGTTGGCCAGAATGGCTGTAAAAGACACAATCAACGGTTGATGATATGGAAATTGTTTGGAACTGGGTATCAGTTTTTGAAAATATTTATCTAGGCCATTAAGATTGTTCAAACATAAAAAAAAATTCTCTGAAATACCATTTAAAAATAAATAAAATTTTATATGATCAGT